TTAAGAGAGGTAGTAGATGTCTCACACCAGCCCCACTCCTATCAGCAGTCATTTGGCAGGTCACAGCGACCACATCTACCACCCTCCGGCATTTCACCTTTCCAATATTTCCCTCGTGCAGCTGCAGTTTCTCATGCCCCACCTCTTATCATTAGACCCCCTCACTCTTAACTTCTCACTGGTTGATTGTAGAGACTTGTAGAAAACAGCTATACTTGTCTTTGTGTGTCTTTTTGCTTCCCTGCACTGAATTTTTTAACCTCTGGGTGTGTTCCGAATCTCTTTTTTTGTCTATTAGAAAGGAACTATTTACTTGTACATAATATTATTTTGTACTTTTAAAACACAGAAATAAGTGAGTCATTGTCCTGTGGTTTATAGCAATAATTATTGTTATAATTATAATTATTTAAAAGGAGCGAGCAGCACGTGCATACATGCATGGTCGATGATGTGGGCCTGGCTTGAACTTCTCTGCACTGTCATCTTAGTCTAGTCATCTTATTTAGTCTAGTCATCTTATTTAGTCTAGTCATCTTAGTCAAGCTAGTCTAGTCATTTTAGTCAAGTTAGTCTCTTCTGGGCAGTGAGACTACTGTCATCTACTGTATTGTAAACATGTCAAACAAGCAACTAAAAAGGCTTTCATCATCATTATCATCAGACCATTATTATAATGATAGTAGATCTATTTCAGCAAAGCATAGAAGGATCTCTCCTCCAGAAAATGAAGGAGAAAGGGATTTGAGCCCGGATTTGAGAGGCCTTTTGAACCGTAGATATTTGAACCAAAAGAAACATGATCCGAGACAATCTCTGACTCGACAGGTTCCAGATAGGAGGATACGACAAAACTGACAGAACAGCGACGAATGATATTTCGCGGTGCACTCCACTCGGCACTCCAGGACCAGTACCTACTGGATCTACCAGTGATCGATCAGGGAGGAAAAGGAAATTGTCGTCAGGAGATGAATCTATTACAAATACGAAACAACAACAACTTGATCAGGGATTGACTGGATTATCACTTCCAAAGCCTCAGAATTGTAAAAGGATGAAAGCTCGTTCATCAAACATATCCCGCTCTCGTTCTATAACAGCCGCATCAGCAAAAGATCGTCACTTGGCATTGGTACCAAGCTGGTGTGATGCAATAGTGAAATACTTAAAGCTATCAGCAAAGGATGTAGTTTCACGTGAGTCAGTATTGAATGACATACACAAATTCTTTGTTAATTTAATTTATGATATTAAAGATAATGGTATCAATAACAAAGAGGGTGTGATTTTACAAGCTATTAAAATGTTAGCAATCATTTGTCAAAATTTTACTAGTAATGATATGATGGTGAGAGACCATGCAGAGTTTGCTCTAAGCTACAAGCTTAAGATTTTTGATGACATTTTTCTGCCATTTTGGGTTACAATAGGATCAATCATGCGTTCTCTTTCTTATTGTCAAGTTATTTCCAAACTTGACTTTATTTCTTCACTGCAACAAGTTCTAATGGCGCTCCTTTATAGCAATGCCTTTCCTATTGACAAAGTAGTTCAATTTTTGCCACTTGACTATGAGTTGCATGGAGCTTTGAAGCAGCTTTGCAACAGAAGCTCTCATGATTTTAAAATACTCTATGAGCAGTCTTTACAGCTTTTAAACAAACGTGATAACCTAAGAAGTAGCCTCATGATGTCTAGTACACTTGATGATACTTTTACTCTTTTGCCAAGTAGAAGTGACCTTATTTCGACGTCAATCCTAGTTAATAATAAGCCTCAGTTTTCTTCTGATTTGGAATATCTTGAAACCCATTTTGAACTCCTACGCCAGGATTTTATTCGCCCTTTGTGTGATGTGCTATGCAAGTTACGCAACCTTCAAGAGAATAGTGGAGAATATTATGAAGATAACAATAGTTATAGCAGTGATATCACTTATAGTAGTGTTCAATTCAATAATAAAACTATTTGTGATGGGGATCTTGTCTACAAAATCAGTTTTAGTCTACCTGAAGGAAGAACAGTGAACTGGGATCAATCCAAGTGTTTTAAAAAAGGCTCACTTCTTTGCCTTTCAAATGATAACTTCCACACTCTGTTATTTGCCACTGTTGCCAAGTGTGATGTTAAAGAATTAAAGAGAGGTATCATTGCTGTGAAAGTGCTAGATGCTAGTGTTGAACATATCAGCAATCGTTCAACGTACAAAATGATTGAATCACCAGCATACTTTGGGGCGTATTCTTCAGTTGTTAGACAACTACATGCCATGAAGTCAAACCCAGAAAGCAACTTACCAGACTTGGCTAAAAAGTATCTTGTGAAAGGTGAAGCAGTTATTCAAATGCCACTTTATGCACAAATTCAGACAAATAAAGATGGGCATTATATTTTGGATCTAAAAGGTGTCCTTTGTGATTGCAATACAATTGGAGAATGTCCTCATGGCTACAATAGTATCATTGTTTCCCTGACAAAATTCACTGTAAAAGAAGCAGTGGAAGAGCTTCAAGATGAAATAAGTGATAGTGAAGACGAAGGGAGTTTAGCCAATGCTGCAATACTTCAAAACTCAAGCTTGAGTTCTTGTAGCAATTCTAGTGATAATGAAATGGAATTAGATGATTTTCAAAACTCTCAGCAGTCAATGCCTCCTTTCTCTGGGAAACTTGATGAGTCTCAGGTAGCTGCCTTGAGACTAGCACTGTCGTCTGAAGTTGCTCTAATTCAGGGTCCTCCTGGAACTGGGAAGAGTTTTATTGGAGTACAATTTGTAAAGGCTATGCTTCAAAATAGAATAAAATGGAATTCTGAAGAATCAGCACCAATACTTGTGACATGCCAGACAAATCATGCCTTAGACCAATTTTTGGAAGAAATTTTAGATTTAAAATTAGATAAAAATGTTGTGCGAATTGGTAGAAGGTCAAAGAGTGAGAGAATTTGCAATATGGATATCAATATCAAAGATAAAAAGCGACAGATTCGATTAAATAAAAAGTTTTCCTCTCGTCATGATTTTTGTAAAGAAGATTTTATTTTTGTAAAATGCAAATTTAGTGCACTTGAAGAGCTTTGTTTTAATTGCCTGCCTTATAATGAGCTTAATAAGATGTTCTATTATTCATTTCTTCATCCAAATGAATTTCTTCGCTGTACTAGTAACTGTGACATACATGATTATTTTAAACGTGAAAATATAAGAAGTATTGAAGACATTCTAAAGTGGCTCAACATAGAAATTAAAACTCAAAAAATTCAAAGTCCGTCTCAAAGTTTTGATGAAGATGAACATAGAATTGATCCAGATGGAAATAGAGGATTAATACTTAAAGGAGCTGAAGTTTTGAATACAGCAAGAAATGAGAGAGACCTAGTACACTTTTTAAAGAAACTTCAACGGTCGAACCCAGATGAATCTGGAATTTGGTATAATCAAGGCCAGCTACGGCTTGATCAAAAATGTGACTTGATAAAAATTTGCTTAAGAAAGCAGTTTAAGTGCCTTCGAGGCAAACTTGATGACCTTCAAGAAAGAAAGAAAAAGTATGAGGATGAAGATGATGCCATTACTCTTCAAGCACTGAAAGAAGCAGATGTTGTAGGGATGACCACTACTGGTGCTTCAATGCACATTAAGGTATTACAAAAAGTTCGCTCAAAAATAGTAGTAGTAGAGGAAGCAGCGGAAGTAATGGAAGGGTACATTGTAGCTGCTTTAACAAAGCATGTTCAGCATCTTGTTTTGATTGGTGATCATAAACAGCTACGTCCAAAAGCCAATGATTTTACTATTGGACGGAAGCATGGTCTTGAAATTTCACTTTTTGAGCGTCTCATTAAGAATGATATGCCGTCTGTTCAATTAAAATATCAACATCGAATGAGACCAGAAATTGCCAACTTGGTTCGTCCTCATATATATCAGGAGCTTTTTGACCATCAGAAAGTCCTAAATTATGAACCAGTTAAAGGTATCAAAACAAATATGTTTTTTGTCAATCATACTTTTCCTGAAAAGCCAATGGAAGGTTTGATGAGTCCTGCAAACAGTCATGAAGCAGATTTTGTTGTGCATTTAGCCAATTATCTTCTCTTTCAAGGCTACAAGCCAGATCAATTAACCATACTCACTCCTTACACAGGGCAAGTTGCATGCATTAAGGAGTACATAGAATCTTTTGCTTTTGAATCTTCTCCTCGTATTGTTCCAATTGATAATTTTCAAGGAGAAGAGAATGATATTATAATTCTTTCCTTAGTTCGTTCTGTCAAGTCTGGTTTCACAAAGGAAGAAAATCGTATTTGTGTTGCTTTATCTCGTGCTAGAAAAGGATTGTATGTCATTGGTAATTTTGAGCTTTTCAAAAAAGAATCACAAACATGGAAGAAAATTATTAATAGCTTAGACAATAAGTCTTTTGGATCTTCACTCCCTCTTCAATGTTATTCACATAAAAGAATTACAGATGTAGGAGTTACAGATGATTTTAGTAATGTCAAAGATGGAGGTTGTTTCGAACTATGCTCTTACGAAATGTCTTGTGGACATGTTTGTCCTAGACAATGTCATCCAGATGACTTAGAACATAATCAGCCATGTTCAGAGCCATGCAGCCGTACAATTTGCTCTTATAATCATCCTTGTCCAAGAAAATGTTCTGATGAGTGTCTACCATGCCAAGTGTTTGTACCAAAGGTCATACCTTCTTGTAATCATCAGCAGTCAGTACCATGTCATCAGTCACCAGATACCTTTACTTGCCAAGAAGATTGTACTATAAAGTTAGAGTGTGGCCATACATGTCAAAGAAAATGTGGAGAAAAGTATACTAATTATCAGTGTCGTCAGCTAGTGATGAAAATGTTACCATGTGGCCATGAAGCTCAAACAGAGTGTTTCCGTAGACCTGATGAATATATGACACAATGTAAAATACCATGTAATGTAGAACTTGCTTGTGGGCATTTGTGCCAAGGAACATGTGGACGATGTAACCAAGGTAGGCTCCATATTCCTTGTAAAGCTAAAGAAAAGTGCACACGTATCCTATTATGTGGTCATCAATGCTCCTCAAGGAATTGTGCCAGTGATTGTCCTCCCTGTCAATTAAAATGTCCTAGCTCATGTATCCATAGGCCATGTGACCACAGGTGCGTTTTTCCATGCATTCCTTGTAATAAACCCTGTAAATGGTGGTGTCCTCATCAAAAATGTACTGAAAGGTGTGGTGATATTTGTAATAGGCCTCGCTGTAATGAGCCTTGTCGGCATAGGTTACGATGTGGGCATCCTTGTTTAGGCCTGTGCTATGAGCAATGTCCACCATTATGTAGAAAATGCGACCCAGCCAATGAAGCATTCCTAAAGAAAAAGAATAACCCAAATTGTCGTTTTATTATGCTGATAGAGTGCTTTCACATTTTTGAAGTGTCTGATCTTGATACCTATATGGATGAGAATGATGATCATGAGCCTGTCAAGTGGAAAAGTTGTCCACGTTGCAATACAAATATTACAAAAAGCTTTCGCTATGGTAATGTTATCAAGAAAATTAAAACAGACATGAATGCCATTAAGAAGAAGAAATTTCAAACATTAAGTTGTTTTGGTAATGATAAAATGAAGAGGGATATTTCAAAATGGAATAATACAATTAAATATTGCGACATTCGTCAAAGTCAAATTGATGTCTTACCTGATGCAACTTTACAATCTTTACATACACTCCTTTCTTTTGCCACTGAATGTGATGAATTACAACAAATGTTTGATACTGGCTCTGTTTGTAGTGATATTTGCATTTCCAAGCAAATCAACAGGCTACAGGATTTTTTGAGATTACGTGACGTTAAAAGTGTGAAGTGTTTACCACAACAAGTCATTGGTGACATTCAGTGTGAGATTAGACGATTTCATTTTCTGAGAAAGTTTTGTGAAGTTGACAGAAAGCCAAAATCTTTTCTAGTGCATAGTAATTGGATGACATATAAAACAAAAATCAAGGAGTTAAATCTAACAAGCTATAATCCAAGTTTGAAAATGACAGATGAAATATATGAAGAAAAATGTGAAAGTCTGTCTTGGTTTTGTAGAGAAAATGGCCTTGATGCACCAACACCTGAGGAAACAAAGCAAATTGTAGCTGCCATTAGTGGTAGGAAAGGAGCATGGTACAAGTGTCCTGATGGACACTACTACCATATTGGAGAGTGTGGAGGAGCAATGCAAGTAGGAAAATGTATCGAATGTGATGCTCAAGTTGGAGGAAGTCATCATCGTTTACAATTAGTGTTGACATCACTGTTCACAATCAGCTTGCCGAAGAAATAGATAATTCTCAGTTTGTAGCTTGGGGCCAGGAAGCTAACCTTAATAATTATGATTTGAATGATGTTTTATAAAATAATATTTTTCTTGAGTCAATATTATTAAATTTAATTTCGTTTTAATTTTTATTAGCATTAATAGTTTGTATCTATTCAACTTGATTAAGTATGTGTTTATGTTTGCTAACTTTTAAACTTTGTTTTGATTATTAAAAATATTTATAATTAATGTCACAATATCTCGAAATTGCCAAGATAAATGGATACACATACACAGCTCTATATACACAAATACATTATGTGTTTGACATTAACTATAAGGAATTATGTGAGAATGCTGTGGTATTTCCTACAATTAAAACTAAGTGTAATGATTATTTTACAGAATAGTGTCTAATTCAGGAAAGTAAAGTACATAGCAGTGTATGCTTTTGAATAAAGACAATGGACTAACAGCTAATATTAGATAGAAAAAATCAATAAAGTGCTGGCTGTAATTCATAACTACATATTCAGAGTAAGTCCAGGTCAATTACATGCAACTAACCTGTCCTACTCTACTAAACTTAAATTATTATGGTAATTATTATTATTATTATTATTATTATTATTATTATTATTGTTATTGTTATTATTATTATTATTATTATTATTAGTAATGAAAAAAAAAATTGTAATTGTAATTAGAAGTCAATTATATTTGCATAACTCTAATTGTAATAGGCTTAACCCTGAACAGAAAATTAATTAAATTTTTATCAAAATTGATTTGTCATAGTGTACTGACTAGTGACTACCTAATCCATAAAGAGACAATAATGCTCTCAGTTTACCTCAATAGCCACTTCACATTACATGATCATATGTACATGCACTATTCACATGTAGATGGTAGTAACTTCTCTGTTTTTAAAGCAAGCCATGATTCTGTTTCATGCAAAAACATAGTCTTTGTAATTGAAATTACTTTAACATGAGAGGCTAGATTACATAATGGTAATTCTAATTCAGTCTATTTTTACAAGAGGATTGTAATTAAATGTGTATTTGTAATTGAGGTTTTGTAACTGATCCCAGTTCTGAAGTCCACCTATGCTAATAGATCTAAAGTGACCAATAATAAAATTAATTCATTATGCAGAGTGCATTTTATTACTCAAGTTTTAAGGAATCCCTTTGTAATTTTAATTCTTATGAAAAAAATTGCAAAAGACATTGCAACATAGATATAATAGAAAAGTGTAACTTGTGTTACATAAGTTTGAGTAAGCTAAATCTAACAGTATTTACCTTTTACTATTTTCATAAACCAGAGCTTTAATTTTTATCACCTGATATTACTCATAATATGATTGAAAATTTTTAAAAAGTCAGCAATAATTATGAGAAATTGAAACTATCCTATGTACACTGTTGTCTATGACAGCAATCCATGTTAGTAGTAGCATTACAATAGTATAATGCAGCATTGTCGTAGGGAACTTTTATTTCAATAAAAATGAATTATATTAATTCAATAAAAACAAATTAGCCTAACTAATAGTTCAGCAATCCACTCAAACAGCTCTTGTAACTAATTCTTTATATTTTAGCAGCAAGTTTTCCCATAAAATAGACTACTGGAAGGCATGCGTATAATATCAGCAGTGTAGATGGAAAACCAAATATGAAGTAACCAAGAAATGAAATACGATACTCAGCTGAGCTTCGTGCTTTTTCTGCAACAATGAGATTAGCCACACTTCCAATAAGA